GTCCATCCCTTCATACTCTTCTGCACCCTGAGCTATCTCCCTGTGCATAAGCAGCCCTTCCTTCTCCCATGATTGTTTGAGAGTAATTTTTGATCATTTGGTCTTATATGGATTATTTTTTAAGGGTGTGCAGTACTCACAGGTTATATTCTTTATTTTATGAGCCACTCTGCTGTTTATCTAAAAGAATCTCAGGAGATAGCTTCAGTTTGCTTATGGGTTATCACGGGGATAGGTTGGGGGGGAGTCTTTTAGTGTCAACTGGTCTGTTTTCTCCCGTTCTGTCAGGGTCCATCTCTTTTGGCCCTGATCAGAACAGTCGATACTGGTAGCTGGGCACTATCTCATTTTTCTGGGCTCAGGGTAGATGAGGCTGTGGTTTACTTATGTGTCCTATAGACTAGATTCTTCTCTGAGTCTCAGGTTTCCTTTCTCTTTTGCTCCTGATGAGTAGAGACCAATAGTTGTGTCCTAGATGGCTGCTTGCAATCTTTTAAGACCCTAGGCACTATTCACCAAACTAGGATATATGAACTATATCCTGCCAATTGTGCTTGGCACATTTCAAGTGCTCGAAAAGGGGTGGGAATGACCATAACGTTTTTTTGGTGATTTGGGTGCTGTCATTCCACTGTTAAGGCACCAGATGGCGACAAAGCACATATCTTAAATTTACCAATGTTCTTCGATAAGGAGCACTTGAATAAAATTAATTCGTTTCCGTTTACAGATCCCTAATTTATGCAGGGTGAAGTATTTTGTTTCTTTCCTTTCTGCCTCTGGCTTCTTTCAGACTTCTGGTTAAAAGTCATTTGTCTTAAGACTCAAATCAAAATTTTTTGTTGTTGAAGTAACATGCGCACAGTGAAACATCAGATAGTAAGACCATATACTACAGAATGGCTGCTAGTGAAAAGCAGCAACCCATTCTCACTTTGTTCTGTTCTGTCTTATTCCTTAAAAACACCCATTTTTCTCCTTCATTGTGATAAAATAAATGCACGTAATATAAGATTTGGCATTGTGACCATTTGAAAATGCATAATTAGTGGCATTAAGTGCATTCACAGTGTTGTGCAACCATCACCACTATCTAGTTTCAGAACTTTTTCATCACTCCATATGAGAACCCTGTACCCATTCAGAAGCACTCACTTTTAACTATTTTTATTATGTAATTTTGAATAGTCAAAATCTATGTTACTTCAGTCAGAATATTTAGCAATATAACCATTCAATAATATTTCTTGGGGTTCTGTTGCATACCTGCGCTGTGTGAGGAACAAAGGCATTGAATGACGAGAGCATGGTGTGTCTGGGGAGTTGCAGTAGGCTGGAAGGTAATATTTTGGGTAGAGGTGGGGATGGGGATAAAGCTGGCACAGAGTGAGGGTCAGTCATGAGGACATTTTATTCTGGGTCAGAAACGTTGGAGCTTGTTCTGAATTTTTGTGTGTATGTGTGGTAAAAGTATACATAACAAAACATACCCTGTCTCAGCAGTTTGTATAAGTACAATTCAGTGACATTGATTACATTCTTCCGGTTGTACAACCATTCTTGCTATCCTTTCCCAAGTCATTCCGCCAACGATTCACATAAGCTTGATGCCCCTGAAGCAAAATCTCTCCCTTTCCCCCTCCTTCACACCCCTGATAACTCCTAATCATCTTTGGTCTCTATATATTTGCTTATTTCATATAAGTGAGAATGTATAATATTTGTCCTTTTATAACTGACTGACTTTTCTCAGCATGTTTTCAAGGCTCACCCACACTGTGGAATCTATCAGGATTTCTCTTTATGGTTGAGTAGTATTCCATTGTATGTATGTATATATATATATATATCACATTTCGTTTATCTCTTCATCCACCAACAGATTTTAATAGCAAAATAGCATGGTTACATTTGTATTCTGTAAAGATCATTCCTGAAGCAGTGTGTAGAATGGATAGCATGACCTGAGACCAGTGAGGAGATGTTTGTAACAATTAGGTGAGACATGGCAAGGGACTGAACTAAGACACTAACAGAAGCAAGAGGGTGGGGATTGAGTTTGAGATATGAAAAGGAAGATAGAGCTTGGAGGGGAAGGGCAAGAATGATTCCCAGGTCTCTGCTTAAGTAGTCAGGTTCATGGTGATGCCCATACATGAGCCAGGAGGTCCAGGTGAAGAAACAGGTTTTAAGCTCATTTTAAATATGTTGAGTCTGACTTGCCTTTGGAGACATCTCAGTACAGTTGGAATCAGAAGAGACACTCTCTCACTTACTAGCTTTGTCACCTTCATCGGGTTACTTAGCAACTGCAGTCCTGTCTCTTTCTCTGCTAAATGGAGTTGATAATATCTACCACCACATGTCCTCAAGTTCATCACAAGGAAGAGCATCGCATACACCCAGCACAGGTCATAGCCATGGCCAATGATCAGTGAAAGTGGTTCTTTTCTTTCCTTTCTAGAGTCTGGAAAAACCAGAAGGTCTTCATGGTTGCTCTTTGTATGAAGTCAGCAGGTTTTGATGATACAGTGCTTTATGGAAAATATCTGCTTAAAAGGAAACTTTATCGGTTACCAGGGATGGGAAGAGAGGGAAGGGGAGGGAAAATCTCTAGATAGGTTAGGGAAAAAAAGATATGTAGAAACCAGACATTATTAGTGGTTATCAGAGGTAGAAGGAAGGGGGGAAGGGGGAAGCTTTTGCTTGGGGACATTGAGTTTATGCTAATGGTGGTGGAATATTTTGGAAAAGGATAGCAATAATGGTGGCACAACATGAAAAATGTCATCAGTGTCCCTGAGCTGTAAATGTGTAAGTTGTTATGTTGGTGAATGTCTTGTGTGTTTTTACCACAATAAAAGTTAAAAAAAAAAAAAAAAAGAAAGAAAATAGCTGCTTAAATACCTAAGTCTTAAGTAACTCATATTTTAAGCCTTTTATGATGGCTTAGATTTTATTTGCTATTTTTCAAGCTCCCATGCTTTTTCTTTCCCAGTGACTGTATGTATCGTTACCTAACGTTCACTTTTCCCCCTATTTAGAAAGCATGCACCTTCATTAAATCCAACCTTGATCCAAGCAACGTGGATTCCCTTTTCTATGCTGCCCAGTCCAGCCAGTCCCTCTCAGGGTGTGAGGTGAGTACAGGTTCCTACATTTAAATTTACTTTAAACTGTGAAGCCATTTTTAAAGAGGGGGCTCATGGCGGATGATTTTTTTCCTGAACAATGAAACTTGGATAAGAATCCATGGTATGGGTAGGAATTCTGATCTTGTGATTTTTTTTTTTTTTTTAATTTTTGTTTTTACCCCCTTAAAGAAGTATAGCATGTTTACTTTCCCCTGACTTTTCACTTGTTGTGGGTTTTAAATTACTTTTTTCTCTGGTTGTTGTCTTTCTTTGGGGAAGCCTTGATTTTTCTTTCCATCTCCTTTGAACATTTAGAAATGTTCAAAGTGAAGGAAGATTGCCCCACAACGGATTTCTTGAAGTCCATTTTATTGAACATCGGAGAACCATATAAATAAACAACTGCTCTGTCAGCATCTTTTCAGAAGTGTCCTGCTGAGATTTATTCTGGTGTCTGGGGAGCTGGGGCGGGGAGTGGTCATGTGCTGGGCAGGGGTGACTTTGGCAGTTGCTGTGCATGCCATCTTTGGCAAGCCTGCCACAAATTGCCAGCACCTGTTCTAAACCTGTGTGTCTGCCAATCCTTTCTTAGATCTCTATTTCAAATGAAACCAAAGATCTCCTCCTGGCAGCTGTCAGTGAAGACTCTTCTGTTACCCAGATCTACCATGCAGTTGCAGCCCTGAGTGGCTTTGGCCTCCCCTTGGCATCCCAAGAAGCACTCGGAGCCCTAACCGCTCGTCTCAGCAAGGAAGAGACTGTGCTAGCGTGAGTCACCCTCTATGTGCACTTCTCAGACTTCATTTCTCAGTCCTGTTCTGAGAAAGTTCATTCATCGGTTTAGCAAATATTTTCTGTATCTACTACATACTAGGCTCTGTGCTAGGCACCGCAGACGTGGTATTGAGCTCAAGCAGATAAAATCCCTGTCCTTGTGGAGCTTACATAGACATAGTCTTCCTCAAGCTACTCAATCAGAAGGCAAATACTGAGTCAAAGCATAAACACACAACCACATTGAGACAAAAACTTGCTTTTGGAGGTTAGAGTGAGGCCACTGAGCCACAGCATCTTGTGTTGAGTCTGCCTGGGGCTCAGCAAGAGGTTGGCAGTGGAGGCTCTGCAAGGAATGATCTGCTTACGGGATCCCTTGAAGTCTTCAGTGACGGCATCTGGTATGAGAAGCTGGGTGTTCCGAAGACAGAGTGGTCTAGGCATCAGACTCTACCCTGCAGAAGGCTTAAGTGAGGGAAAAGCACCTATAATTACAGGAAAGGGACTTTGAGCAACTTTCCTGTTGATTATAAATTTAATTATTGTAACCATCTTAGGGATGTTTGGTATAAACTTTTAAAAGTGATAATATATGTCATTTTTTAAAAAAAACCACACTAATATACTTAATTTGAAACATTTGTGTGTGTGTGTGTGTTCTCCATTTAATTGCAAACCGCCCCCCACAAGATGCTGTAGAATGCCTTGAGTCTTGCATTTGTTGGCATTTAGATTGTTTCCCAAGTTTTGGTTTTTTCTAAGAACTAAATTGTTTCTAACCTCGAAGTTTTTTTAAGGGCAGTTGACAATCTCTTTGTCCCTCTCACACCCATTACATATTCACGTGGTCAGTAATCAGTGACTTGGGCTGGTACTTTTCCTGGGCTTGATATTTCATGTACACTTTTCCAAACTTTAGCTCTAGTGGTCCTATTTTTTAAATTTTTTAATTTTTATTGTGATTTGGGTGAAAGGTTACAGAGCAAATTCATTTTCCATACTGTAGTTCACACACATTTTATCTCATGACATGGACTGCAATTCCCCACAGTGTAACAGCTCTCTTCCCACTTCTCCCCGTAGTTACCTCTTCCCTGTGTCCTTCCCTCCCATGCACTCCTGCCCCTTAAGTGGTCTTCCTGTGCATACACTGCCCTTCTATTCTCCCATGATTGATCTCTCCAAGGAGTATATCTACGTGATGTAAATGTTCAACCCATATACCTGTCTCTTATTTGGCCACAGGAGTGAGTTCAATTCTAGACCTGAAGGGCAGCTAGGGACCGTAGTTTCAGGGGTTTCACCAGGCTCTATCAGACCAGCAAACCTGGTCTTTTTTATTTATGATTTTGAGTTTTGTTCCATATTGTTCTCCCACTCTATCCAGGATCTCCTACATAGGTCCCCCTCTGAGTGGTTGACAATGGTAGCCAGACACCATCTAGTTCTTCTGGTCTCATGGTCATATAGGCTGAGGATCACATGGTATACCAGTACCTTGGCCTAATCATTTCCATGAGCCTTTGCTTTTCTTCATTCTTTGCTGTGGATGACGAGACACCCATCGTTGCATCTAGATGGCAGCTTGCAAGCTTTTAAGGTTCCAGTTGCTACTTATCAAAGTAGGATGTGGAACAATGTTTTTGTGTAGTATGCTATACCAATTCAGCTTACTGTCCCTTGGGACATGATTCCGAGCCCACAGGTCCAACTACTCGCTCCCTCTGGGTCTGGCTGTGGCCAAGAAATCACCACAACCTTGTCCCTTGTCAGCTCTACTATATACCTGGACATTCTTACAGAACATAAAATATACTTGTAGAAACATTGTCTGCCAACCCTATACATGTTCATGGGTACACTCCCCCTGCCTAGACATACCTGATTGTTCAGCCTGTCCACCCATCTGTCCACCTGTAGATCAATGTTTGTCATCACTGACAACGCAGTACTATATGTGCAAAAGGCTTCATCTTTGTCTTTATCTCCCATGTGCCTCTCTATGTCTTCCTCTTCCTTGGTGCTACTATGTTTTTCACTCACATTGGGTATGTTGCCCTTTCCTTCACCCAAATCAATACTTGTTTCTACCTGTCTAGCATTGTTCCCTCCTCTCCCCTCCTATCCCTGATAACCAACAAAGAAAGTTTCCTTCCATATATAAACCTTTCACTGACTTTTCACAATAGTGGACTAATACAGTATTTTTCCTTCTGTGATTGACTTAGTTCACTCAGCATAATGTCCTCCTCCAAGTTCATCCACATTATGCAGTTTTTCAGATTCTATATTATTCTTTAGGGTTGCATAGTAGTATTCCATTGTGTGTATGTACCGTAGTTTGGTTATCTACTCTTCAGCTGATGGACACCTAGGTTGTTTCCATCTTTGGCTATTATAAATAGTGCTGCGATGAACATGGGTGTGCATATGTCTGTTCTTATCATGGCTCTCACTTCTTTAGGGTATATACCTAGTAATGGAATGGCTGGGTCAAATGGTATTTCTAATTCCAAATTTTTAAGGAATCACGATACTGCTTTCCACAGTGGTTGTTGATAGTCCCATCAGCAGTGTATGAGACTCCCAATCTTTCCACATCCTCGCCAGCATTTGTTATTTTGTGTCTTGTTGAACTTTGCTTTTAGTGCTGGGGCAAGATGGTATGTTGTTTTGATTTGCATCTCTCTAAGGAGCTCTGGTAGCATAGTGCCTAAGGTACTTGACTGCTAACCAGAAGGCTGGCAGTTCAAATCTACCAGCCACTCCTCAGAAAGAAGGTTGGGCAATCTACTTCCATAGTGATACTGCCTCAGAAACCCAAGGAGGGGTACGACTCGATGGCCCATAACAACAACAACAGCAGTGGCTAATGATCGGGAACATTTCTTCATGTGTTTGTTGGCCACCTGAATATCCTCTTTGGTGAAGTGTCTATTCATGTCTTCTGCCCATTTTTTAATTGTATTGTTTGTCTTTTCATTGTTGAGGTGTTGGAGTTTTCTATAAATTTTAAAGATAAGTCCCTTGTCAGATATGTCATTGCCGAATATTTTTTACCAATCTGTGGGTTCTCTTATGACTCTTTTGGAGAAGTCTTTTGAAACACATAAAAATTTAATTTTTAGAAATCCCTACTTATCTGTTTTATCTTCTGTTGTTTGTGCATTTTGGGTTGTGCTTGATAGTCTATTTATGCCATAAATTATGGTCCCTGATTTTGCCCCTAATTTTTCTTTAAGGAACTTTATAGTTTTAGATTTCACATTTAAGTCTTTGATCCATCTGGAGTTAGTTTTTCTGCTAAAGAATATCCAGTTTTGCCAGCACCATTGTTAAACAGACCATCGCTTCTCCATTTAATGGATTTCGGCCCTTTGTCAAAGATCAGCTGACCATAGGTAGATGGATCTATTTCTGGGTTCTCAATTCTATTCCACTGGTCTATGTGTCTGTCATTGTACCATTACCAGGCTGTTTTGACTACCATGGCTATATAGTAGGTTTTAAGATCTAGGAGTTTGAGACCCCCAACTTTATTCTTCTTCTTCAATAGTGCTTTGCTTATCTGAGGTCTCTTTCCTTTCCATATAAAGTTAATGATTGGTTTTTCCATATCTTAGAGAATGTTGATAGGATCTGGATTGGGATTGCATTAATGTATACATTGCTTTGGGTGGAATTGACATTTTCACAATGTTCAATCTTCCTATCCTCTTGTGGTCCTTTTGATCTCTACTCTTAATGCCTTGTGGTAGAATGCCTTTTTCTGCGATCACTACTGTCTCATCATGATGTCACTGTCATCACCTCTCTCTGATGCCATCTTCCACAGAAAAATATTCCTATTTCTCTCTAAGCAGAAAGGAAAGTCTCCTTCCTTACAACCCCAGAACAGGGAAAAGTATAAGGAAGTGCATTCATTTTGGAGTCAGACAGAGTTAGGTTTCAATGCCAGCTCTGTTTCTTCTTTGGTTTGTGACTTGGGGCAAGTTACTAACTTCTCTGAGCCTCATCCGTAAAATGAGACAGTAACCCTTACATCATAGAGCTAATGGAGGATTAAATGAGATAATTCATATGAAGAGCCTAGCACAGTGCCTGTTTCTTAGTGGGCCTACAACAAATGGAGTTTCTTTTCCTCTAGAGCACTTCCTTGTTAAGTACCATTCTTAAGGATCTGGTTACTCCCTTGGTTGTATTGTCATTATTTCTCTTTTAAATTATAACCTTTGTTTGCAAAGCACATAGAGCCTGGCACATGTCAGATACGAGAGATGCCCAAGAGAGTTGTATACTGAAAGCTGAAACTGTATTTTGTGTTTTGGCTGCCTTGTAGAACAAGCACATGCTTTGGATCAGATGGAACTGTGTTCAAGTCCAAATTCTTCTACTTAATACCTCTGTGACCATGCATGGGCTAGGTACCCCACACATACACTACTACCAACTTTCAGTGTTCTCATATGTAAAACAGGGGACATGGTATCTGTCTCATGGGTTATTGTGAAGATCAAACCTGGCAGGATGCCTTATATGAATAATATATTACTTACTTTCCCTATTTAAGGAAATCTGCTGTAAATTAGGAATCTTCTAAAAGGGCCCTCTGTATTTTAATGGACTTACTCTAGGAGGTGTCTGTCATAAACTTGTCTTGAATGGGAAACAAAATACTTGTAGGTTTGAGTGAACCATCTGAAAAGTTGTCATTGTGATCTTCCGTGAGCCAATTTCTTTGAATTATCTGTGGTATATTAGCAAGACAGGATCCGCTTCATGGTGTTTGAATATTGTGCTCCAGAGGGAAAGGAATTGCTGGCTGGGGCATAAGTAATTAAAGCCAGTGACAAAACTTTCCTAAAACCAAGTGGGTTAACTTCATGCTGAAACTTCTGAGGTTGTTACCTACATAATATTCATTCCAAAGAAGAAAAAATGGTTATCATCATTGAACACTTCTTTCTAGGTTATCTTAGCAGGCTTTTCTGAGCTCAACATTTATCATGGGCAGATAGGAGGTTTTTATCTTGTTTAGAAATTCAGGTGTCGTTTTCTCAAGTGCATTATAATAGCAGGCATCCATCCCCTAGGAGTCGCTGAATACTCTCGAATACTCTGGGGCTTCCCTCCCTGTGAATTGTGACTCTTCTGTTTTCTAACTTGTCATCTTAATGGAATTTAGTTTTCCATGGAGGGGATCTGAATTGTTATGATCTCGACCTAAGCAGACAAACTCCTGCTCTACATTCCCTGACACATTGACTTGATAAGTGGTAGTTTTACACAAGGGCCCAGATATCTCTTGGGAATTAGAGAACTATAGGAGCAGGGTGGGAGGGGTTGAGTGGCAGTCGTTTAACAACCAGGGGGCCCTAGTGTTCCCTAATCTACCCAGGAAAACAGCACTTAAATTTTCCAAAGTATCTGCATTTAGAGAGTAGGATCTAGTAAAAGAGATGATATGTGTGCATATCACATTCCACCTTAAAAAGTTTACCTTACAGAAATATACTCAAGTGGATAAAAATACAGGTATATGTTGCTTAATGTCCATGATACATTCTGTGAAATAGGATGTTATGTGATTTGGATGTTGTACAAACATGGCATTAAAATCTCATGAGAGTATGCTTCCAGTTGTTCTTGTCACCATTGCTGCTGCTAGAGTTGCTGACAGAGGCTGGAGGAGGGACAGGTGGTGGCGGAGATGGTGGCTGTGGGGGAGAAGCAAGAGGGAGTGAGAGGGGAGGGAGCAGAATTCATCCAGCCCAGCTTGACAAAAGTACCTGCTGGACAAAGCCCAGGAGTCCATGCCCAGAGCCATGTCCTCTGCCTTACTTGCCTGTATCCCACCTATGGACTGGTGCTGCAAGAGACTGAGTGTGGGATCTTTAAAACCATTAGGGGAAAATAATGAACAAAAGGACAGCTGCTCTGTCTTTTCAAATTAAAAAAAGCACCTTTTGGGACTGGACAGATACGCAGTCAGACATAAATGCAGTCAGGTGTTCATTAAGTGACACATACCTTTATATGAGCAAGGGTTGTAAGTTATAGCATTGTATGACCTAGTAAAAAACTGGAAGCATTAATGTTTATCAGTTAGCAATTAAATTAGTGAATTATGATACGTTCAGGCATTATAAATCTATGTTGTTGTTAATAAGAATGAAGTACATTTTTATATACTTATGTGGAAAGATGCCTACAATATAGTAAATTAAAAGTAAATTGGAGAACAATTATCCTTTTGTTGTTGTTGTTGTTATGTGCCGTCGAGTCAGCCCTGACTCATAGCGACCCCTCCTTGGGTTTCCGAGGCAGTATCACTACGGAAGTAGGATTGCCCAACCTTCCTTCCGAGGAGTGGCTGGTGGGTTTGAACCGTCAACCTTCTGGTTAGCAGTCAAGTGCCTTAGCCACTATGCTACCAGAGCTCCCAATTATCCTTTAGGGAGTAGATACTACACAAATTTTAACTCTTCTTTTTCGGACAAATATGTACATTTATAATTAAAATGATAAGAGAAAGGGAATAGACTGGTTTTGGAATCAAATCTCCTTTTCCTTTCCTTTGATTTAATGCTGACGGCTGTGTGACTTTCAGGTCACACGCATGTCAAGATGATGGAATCATGCACATCAGCCATGAGCTCATGTTTATTGAACACTTTCTGTTCAAATGACATTTTCTGGTTTTTGAAGAGTTGCTACAAATTATATCCAACAGTTTCTTGTTCCACCTGCAAATGGAGACTCCACATTTCCTTGGTCTGGGAGTAGGAAAAGTAGAAAATTAACTGGCATGGTGTCTTGTACAACATAGGGGATGAAAGATAAACTTTGGCTGAACTGAATCCTGTTCTCCCTCAGAGCCTATGTCTTATAAATCTAATTAATTTGTAGTCTCCATGTTCTGTATGTGATACTGTCATGAACAAAGCAGACTTTTTGAGGGGGTGAGCCTGCGCCCCCTATGATCTGTGCTCACAGTATATACTGCTGGCTCTGTTGCTTGGATTGCCATCTCAGAATGCCATAATCTTTTCTCATCTTTGTTACATCTTTCCCAACTAGGTTGTAAATCATTTCCTTAAGGCTGAGACTGTCTTGACCTTCTAGAGAACAAAAACAGGATATTTGAGAAGGTGTCCAGAAACAAGAAAGGTGATTAGCTGGAAGATGATTTGCCATTCATTGGAATCCTACTCTCTATTTTCCAGAACAGTCCAGGCTCTGCAGACGGCTTCCCACCTGTCCCAGCAGGCTAACCTGAGGAGCATCGTGGAGGAGATTGAGGTGTGAATTTGTGTTGCCAAATTTCCCAGCTCCTGTCTTTGAAACCCTTTAGAAGAGTCTTGCGGATACACATGCATGATTTTTTATGGACAGTTACATTTTTTCTCATATCCATGGCACACTCATGATCTTTTATCAGAGCAGTATGTCCTGGGCAATATTTATTAATCTAATATAGTTACCCCATAAGTTTGGTAACAAACTGCTTTTCCAGCCTCTTATAAATATGTACTCTAAAGTCCACAATGTTTTAGAGTCTGACAAACATGAATTTAAATCTTTTTTTCTGCCGCTTAGTGCTATGTAATCTTAGGCAAGTTATTTAATGTCTCCTTGTTGGTGGCTATGGGAATAAGTGAGGTAATACATCTAAACTGCCTTGTACCTAATAGGTGCTCAGTAAGTAGTCTCTGTGGATTTTATGGTTACCTTTCCCTTTGCTCTGGATGTCCTGCTCCTCAGAGTCCACTCTCCTGGACTGTGTTGCCAATGATGGCAGGTGGTCCTGACATGTCATCACTGGATGTGTCATGGGCACAGTAGCTGCCTAGTCATGTTGCCCAGAAGAGCAGGACGTCTCCCTTCCTCTTTGGGTCTCCATGTTTTAGAGCTCTGAATAAGAAAGGGAAATGCTGTGCTGTGTAGGTGGCATCTAAACGGATGGCCAAGGAATCCATCTGTGTCACTGTGCTTCCTGGCTGCACTACAGCCTGGCTCACTGGCCTTCTGCCTGGAACAGCTGGCGCCTTCAGTGCCCCAATTCCTGGGCTTGAGTATGAATATAAGGGGCTAGAGCTAAAGAAGAGACTGCTCTTGAAATACCTGTATGATATACTTTATCTCCTGGTATTAAGTACTAAGTACTCTCTGGTAACAGTCCTCAGTGACTGTTTCCAGATTTAGAGTGAGAGATTTTCCTAAACTCAGTATTGATGCTGGGTTGACAGTGTTGTGTAGGTCTCATTTCTGTTATCACTGGACTTTAAACATGCTTCCCTTTTGTTGTGACAGGACCTTGTTGCTCGCCTGGATGAACTGGGGGGCGTGTATCTCCAGTTTGAAGAAGGACTGGAAACAACAGCACTATTTGTGGCTGCCATGTATAAGCTCATGGACCATGTGGGGACTGAGCCATCCATTAAGGAGGTGCCTGTCTAACTAGATGTAGAACCCTAAGGCCAACTTGATCTGCTAAGAATAGCTTTTTTTGGGAAGGCTGTTCTGTTAGCCCTGGGGCATGGTCACTCAGTGTCATGGGTTCCACATCGAAAATGAGAACTAGAATGATGTCACCCCTGTCCTCAAACCAGTCAGTGGAATAGACAGGCAAACAAAATGTTACACTTGCTTTAAATGGGGTGTGTACATGTCATGGGGTATTGGCAAGAAGGGCAGATGTATTACTCTTATTTCACCCTCCTTTTTCTTTTTGACCTCCCTTCCTGCCTATCTCATGAATGCTTCCACTTTGGTGGCCCATATACATCCTCTTTCTTGTGAGAAGTATCTTATACTTCAAAATTGCCTGTTTTTCTCCTCCACCCTTGTCCTTAGCAGTGCCTAAATTTCAGCTAATCTTTGTTGATTGAAATAGTTCATTGGGAGGCATGTCTGTCTACCAGACGTCCACCAAGAGTTAATCTTTTTTTTTTTTTTTCCCAAGAGGAGCTTGTTAACCTGAAAGAACCTTTAGTTGGAATGTATGTGGGAAGCCTTTTTGAGTAAGACCTTCTTTGTACCCCTTGTCTGTGAGAAGATGACCAACCCTTGATCTAAAGTACTTAAAATACAGACTGCTATTGTTTACGTTTTATAAGTAGAGGTTTGGATTCACAGAACTTTTCATATTTCCTACACATTATGAGTTTTGTGCAGAGTTTGTTTATCCAAGACAGAGAATATGGTTTACTTTATTTGAATTCACTATTTTCTCCAGAGGATCTAATCTAATAGTTTGTTCATGTATTTCCATTCTTCTGGTATCTTTTCCTTCATCCTAAGTGTCATAGGTAATAGTGCAGGAATGTGGGGTCTCTTGGTACAGATCATATAGGGATTCTCCCATACATAGTATAACAGATGAATTAGCAATATTCTACACATACAACTTGAACTTTTACTTGCTTTATTTCTGAGCTTCTACTAACCACGTATTTGGCTGGAATAATTTTGCTGTCACTGTTTTTGACACAATTCTAGTGAGCAATCACCCATTTTAACTTGTCAACAGCCTAGTGATGGAAAAATGTAATTGGTACAATTAAAGAAAATTATTTCATGTTGAATGTGAATAACACTGTCAGGAACAGGGAGCTCTTTTGTTAGATGGGAGATTTTAAAAAACAAATCTGATTGAAGTGGAAAATGTTTCCTCTTAAGCAAACAACCTCCAGAATTTTAATAATGCCTTTTAGGTTTCACTTTTTTAAAAAATTGCTTTTAGTTGTCTTTAAGCAGCCCATTACTTCTTAATGGAGAGTTATTTTAGTTTCTAATGTACATTTTGGCCATAAGATTTAGTCTCATAAATACAAGCTTAACCCCAATTTACTACTTAAAGGTCAGCCAGGAGGGAGGTTGGTTTAGCCGGGGGCGGAGGCAGGTGGGCTAGTTTAGCTGGGAGAGTGATTTGATGAGAACAGGAAAGAACCTGTTTTATTGTGGAAGGACTTTAGAAACAAATATCTGTATTTGAATTCTGATTTTGCTATTTTTTTCTGTTATGACTTGGACAAGTTACTTAATCTCTTTTAGCCTGAGATTCCTTTTGAAAAAGAGATAATACCTAGTTTTCAGGGTTTTTGTCAACGTTGTTGTTATTATGTGTCGTCAAGTTGGACCCTCCTCATAGTGACACCTCTTTGGGTCTCCAAGGTAGTATCACTGTGAAAGTAGATTGCCCAACATTACTTCTGAGGAGTGGCTGATGGGTTTGAACCACCAGCCTTCTGGTTAACAGTCAAGTGCCTTAGCCACCTATCACGGTGCCTGGCACATACAGGCATTGAACAATTGGTTATTGTTGTGTGTGTGTGTGTGTACACATTATATGGAGCTCTGGTGATGCTGTGGCTAAGGCATTGGGCTGCTAACCAGAAGATAGGTAGTTTGAACCTACCAGCTGCTCCACAGGAGGAAGATGAGGTAATCTACTTTCATAAAGATTTACAGCCTTGGAAACCCAATGAGGTTGCTATGACTCGGAATTGACCCAGGGCAGTGGGCTTTGTTTTTGGTATATATATAATTTTTTTTTTAACATACTATTGTGTTTTGGGTGAAAGTTTACAGAACAAATTAGTTTTCTTTGTTACTTGTATTTTATAATATGCATCCCTATCTTTATATACTGATTCCTTCAAGAGAGTGATATATCACTAGTATATATTACATGATTACATAAATATGATTGTGTAGCTGTGTTTGATAGCTAATACTTGAGCAGTTTTTTTTAATAACAGCTTTATTAATTCACATATACAATTTGACTAATTATTAAACTTTAAAATTATTGTAAATTTTATTTTTAATAGGTCATTTTTTCATTAAAAATGTAGCTTTATTTCATTAGTAATCTGGAAGTACCCTGCATTTGCATAGTAAACATTCAAATAAATGGTTGACAAAGAAATATATGAGTTTCAGTTTATACTGAACAGATGGAAAAAAACAGCCAAATCTGAATCTCGGTTTTGAAGCTTAAATGCAGAATATTTGTTCCCCCGCCCCACCACCACCACACATACACATACACACACACACATACACATCCCTTACAGTTTGGATTAATGGCTAAAAGACTTGCTGTGTGAACACCTGGAAACAGATAAGGAATAACTTGAGTTAGGTGGTGAGGAAGAGGTGGCTTTCCTGCTGGAGAAAAATCTGGAATGCATCTCCCTTTTCTTTCAGGATCAGGTCATCCAGCTGGTGAATGCCATCTTCAGTAAGAAGAACTTTGACTCACTCTCAGAAGCCTTTAGCGTAGCCTCTGCTGCAGCTGCTCTCTCCCAGAATCGCTACCATGTGCCAGTGGTCGTTGTGCCCGAGGGCTCTCCTTCTGACTCTCGCGAGCAGGCTGTCCTGCGGGTATGACTTCCATGCCCAAAATGTGCACTGTGATCGCCATTTTCTGCTGCAAGACTTTCAGAAATCCAAAGACCATGGTATACCACCAGTTATAGGCCCCATGAGTCCCTACCCGTTGAATCTAGGGCAAGACTCATTTCCCTTTGCCTGGAAATGTGGACATGACCGCTGAGCCTAAACTAGTCACAGACTCCTTCAGGTCTGTCAGAGTTCGCCTCCTGCTGTTTCTGCTCCGTGTTGGTTCTGGCTCACAGTGACTCTGTGTGCAGTAGAACGGGATGCTGCCTGGTCCTGCACCGTCTTCACAATTGTTGTTATGCTTGAGCCCATTCTTCAGCCACTGTGATGGTCCATCTTGTTGAGGGTCTTCCTCTTTTTCACTTACCCTCTATTTTACTAAGCATGATGTCCTTCGCCGGGGTCTGGTCCTTCCTGATAACGGGCTTTGAATAAATTAAGTGCGAGAGAACTGTATTTCTGGGTCCATAATTCCAGATATGTAGAAAAGTCTTGCTTTTAAAATACATTGCCCAGCACCAAAACTTTCTAAATATATTGTTCTAAGACAGCTATTTTAATTCCCCTGTAATTATGGTGCTCATAGTAGTTACATAAATAGCGGGTCTCCTCTTCCCTGGTCCTGACAGTGCTGCTTCAAAGCAGAGCCCTCTCTCACTCAGCACTAAGCACAGACTTCTCTTTCGTGTTAACTTGATAAACAGAGCAAATGCATAAATGTTGAGTACCCTGAGATTGTTCATCTCAAATGAGGCATTTTATTGTTGTTTAGAGACAGTGCTGAGTTAAGACCTTCAAAAGAAATTAGTGTTTTATTTATGTTTAAATGTTGGGGTTTCAAATAGAGTAGTACCATCTGTCCCATAATTTCTTCTACTTTGGGGCACTCTTGAGGAAAACCAAAAAAACAAACTCACTGTCATGGAGTCGGACCCAACTCAGAACGACCCCTCCTTGGGTTTCCAAGGCAGTATCACTACGGAAGTAGATTGCCCAACCTTCCTTCCAAGGAGTGGCTGGTGGGTTTGAACTTCCAGCCTTCTGGTTAGCAGTCAAGTGCCTTAGGCACTATACCACCAGAGTTCCTGGTCTTGAGGAAGTGCCCTTCAAATTGCCTATCCTCCCTACTTATAACTCATGTCCTCTCAACAGAGACAGGGGAGAAGTAACCTGATTAACATAGTTCAAGGGGACAAGAAGAGCAAAGTGGCAAGAGTACTTGCTTTGAAGCCAGCAGACTGGGGTTTGAGTCCAGTCTCAACCACTTAACTGGCTTTGTGGCCTTGAGCAGTCCCTTAACCTCTTGTAGTTTCAGTGTCTTTATCTGTCAGGTGGAGCTTATGCTGTCTATCTCATACAATCGATACGAGGATATATGGAAAGGGCACAGCCTAGTAGTAACAGTAACTGGCTTTCAATAAATGATAGACATTAATGTTATCCATATTTGTTTCATTTTCCCATTGCCAGTACCTTCCAAAAAAAAAAATTTCTTGCTAATGATTTTTTTAAAGGTAATACGGTATAGTGGCTGAAACGGGATCAGAAAGAAGGAAAATGACAGTCAGTCACTTTCTTTTCCTTTGAAAACTGAGAAACTCCAGCTTTAACATTCTGTAATCTATCCCATCCCAGACTTGATTCTCTTTCTCCTGTATTTGATTTCTGATGGGAAACAGAACAAAGGTCAATGAAGATTTCCTAAAATGAAGTGTTTCCTCCCCACAGCACTTGCTCCCTCTGGGGAGAGCACCACAGAAACAAAATTCCTTAGCCTTTGTCTTACAGATAATTTTTTATTTCTTTCCAGTTGCAAGTCACCAATGTTCTATCCCAGCCTCTGATTCAGGCCACTGTTAAACTAGAGCATGCTAAATCCATAGCTTCCAGAGCCACTGTTCTGCAGAAGACATCTTTCACCCCTGTAGGGTAAGTCCTGAGCAGATTTGTGCAGGGCACAAGCATATTTGTTTTGGAAAGTAAGCCTGCGCCAGTATCAAAAAACCAATCCCAACTTACTTCCATTGAGTCAGTTCCAACTCATGGCGACCCCCTTTGGGTTTCCAAGACTATAAATCTTTACCAAAGCAGACTTCAATGGAGCAGCTGGTGGTTTCAAACCATCAACCTTTTGGTTAGCAGCCAACCTTTGGTCTGCAGCATCAGAGCTCCTTGTAGCCAGTACAACCCAGACTGATGTGGATATCACTGAGATCGTAATACCAAATTTACCTCAACATTGGTTAGATAAATTTGACCTACTGATACAAAAATCTTATAGTTGTAAGGAAAGGATTTTTAAAACTAAAAATATTTTGCTTTGTTTTTTACTGTTTTCTTTACTATTTCTAGTTACCTCTGTCTTGTCAATGTGATATAAATAGCTATTTTAAAATTTAATATTTATTTTTTTCTGATATATTAGTCATATATGTTTATTGTAGGGGAAATACAGAAAACACAAAAAATATAATATAAATCTTCCATAATTTCGTCACCCAGAAATAACTGCTGTTGACATTTTGCTATCTTTTTTGGTCAGCCTTTTTTGTATGCATATAAATATATTTTTAAATTGAATTAGGTTTTTTTTTTTTGTCTGTAACAGTGTGCTGTGAACATTTCCCCATGGGATTAAATATTCTATAACCTTATGTTTAATGAGTGCATATTGTTATGCAAATTTTTGAAATTAAGGGTCAACATTTGTATGAAACTTTGTTAAGTGTTATGAATAAGTTAATAAAATGGTCCCTATTCATCAGGAGCTTTGACTTTCAGAGAGAAAATACATTTATTAGTCAATCATAAAGATAGTACAGGTGATATGTGAAATTAAAAAGCAAAATAATTTTGTAGGAATAATAAGAGACATTATTGGTGTTTTGTTGTGTAGCTACAGTCATGAATTCACTATCTTCTTTTCCCTTTGAAAATTATGAATATTTTTTAAAAAATGAGATAGGTCCTTTTTAGAAAATTCATGACACACAGGTAAGTAGAAATAATACAAAAAATAACCCACAATTCCACTACTCGACTGCAACCACTTTGAACATTTTGGAGTAATTTTTCTTTGTGTTCTTTTTCCATGTGAGCATGGTGAACATACTTGGGATCACACTGTGTACTTACCTGTTTGCATTTATTGTGGAAGGCTAACAGAGGGAGGTAGGACTTTAGGAGCTGAGTTGGGAAATAAAAGAGAAGACCTTGGAAACTTGGGAAGGGAAGTCATTTTAAGTAGGTTACAATTAAATCCGAGAAGCTGGGCTATGTGAAGAAGCATACAGCATCAGGATTGGAGGAAGACTCGTTGACAGCCTGTGATATGCACTTGACACACCCATGCTTGCTGAAAGTGAAGACTTGAAACTCTTACTAATGAAGGTCAGAGACTACAGCCTTCAGTATGGATTGCACTTCAACATAAAACAAAAATCCTCACAATTGGACCATTTAGCAACATCATGATAAATAGAGAAAAGATTGAAGTTGTGAAGGATTTCATTTTTTGGATCTATAGTCAATGCCAAAGGAAGCAGCAGTCAAGAAGTCAAACAACATTTTGCATTGGGCAATACTGCTGCAAAAGATCTCTTTAAAGTGTTTAAGATCAAAGATGTCACTTTGACAGCTAAGGTGCACCTGACCCAAGACAGGGTATTTTCAGTAGCCTCATATGCATGTGAAAGCTGGGTAATGAATAAGGAAGTCTGCAGAAGAGTTGATGCATTTGAAGTGTGGTTTTGGTGAAGAATATAAAAAATACCATGGACTGCCAGAAGAATGAACAGATGTGTCTTGGAAGAAGTACAACCGGAATTCACCTTGGAAGCAAAAATAGCCAGAATTTGTCTCTCGTACTTCGGTCATGTTATCAATAGAGACCAGTCCCTGGAGAAGGATATCATGCTTAGTAAAGGAAAGGGTCAGAGAAAAACGGGAAGACCCTCACTGAGATGGACTGACATGTGGCTGCAACTATAGGCTCGAGCATGGCAAGGATTGTGAGGGTGGCACAGGACCAGGCAGTGTTTCGTTCTGTTGTACATGGGCTCATTGTGAGTCAAAACTGATTTGACGGCACCTAACAACAACATAATATAGAGAAAACTTAAAAACTCTGATTGAGGAGAGAAGTTGCCCAAGTAGAGTAGAAAGTCAAACAAAAGAAAAGTGTAGCCTGAACTGTGTCAAGGAGTGTTTCACTCTGTAGCCTCTTTGTGAGTCCTTACTAATCCCACTGTCATTCTTAACAGGGATGGTTTTGAGCTAAACTTCATGAATGCCAAATTTTCCAGTGGTTATTATGACTTCTCTGTCAAAGTTGAAGGTGACAACCGTTACATTGCAAATACTGTAGAGGTAGGTACTTTGCTTGCCATCCCCATTGTCATGTTAATGTATCCAAGGAAATGACCAAAGAGGTTTATAGCATTAATTGTTCAGCATATTGACTTGACTTGGGCATTAAGCTAATGTGAATATGTTAAGAGACATACAGGTTTGAGCTATGCTGTTTGATATACTTACCCAAGACAATAAATCAAGAATGCAATCATAGCTGGTTTTCTTTCATTTGTAAATTATTTGTTTTCCATTATAGTTTAGCATTAATGTTTTACATAAGTTTATGAAATAGAATAATTCTACAAAGGCGTAAATATTCCTGAAATGTTTTGTGGTGGTCCTTGGTAGATTTACAAAAGTGCTCAATGCTAATTAGGTGAGGAAAGGTATCAAATGACACAAACAAACATTGATCATCTTTCGTGATGAGTTGTGTTTCAGATGTGTAGCTCACTGTAATTGGGTTGAACATGCACATAACTTTAAGGATGGAAAACTACACCTATTGAGGTATATCTCACCTTAGTGTGTTCCCAGCTAATTAGAGTTTATCCTTTCAGGCTCCATGGCTTTCATTTTAACCTTCTTGAATAGAAGCTTATTTAAGATGAATAACATATTCCCCCTGCTTTCTTAAACCACTACAGAACATAGTTTAACCTTTTCTTACTCTGAATTATGGTCATCAGTATGAACCTTTTATTGAAGGCCTCAATTGGCAAACACAGTTCTGATTGCTTTTGCTTACATTATTTTATTCTTGCAACAATCCTGGGAGATGGATGGAGTTAGTTTCATTTTATAGATGAGGCTCAAAGGGGTAGAGTAACTGGTCACCCGGTCCTTGTGTGGGTGGATCCCCTACACATACCAGATTGTTAGTGTGCCCTGGTGAGTATAGGGTAGGAGGTGTGTACAGCTCCAGCAGCTGGGCTTTTCATAGTACGACTTTCGTCTTTTTCTTCCACCACCTCAGCCTTTATTTCTCCATACTTTTGCTACCTTATCTGCGGGCTCTACTTGACTATACCATCATGCATGCTGTTGAGGGAGACTTTGGAGTGATACCATGTCTTTCCTAAAATAAAAACACGTGCTATTTGTGACACCTATTTTCTTCACTATTCATTTCACTAGCAGAGGCCATTTCCCACTTTTCTTTGTTTCTTTTTTTTTTTTTAATTGAAAAGAAATTATTTTCCATTTTGAAATGATTTCATTCTTAATCAGAGTTACAAAGACAGTGCAGAGAATTCCCATACTCACTTCAGTCAGCTTCCCTGAGTGATAACATCTTATGTGGCTATATAACGATGACCAAGACTAGGAAACAAACACTCATATAATACTATTAACTGATCTGTAGACCGTCATTCCGATTTTGCCATTTGTCTCACAGATGTCTCTTTCTAGTCCAGGATTCAATCCAGGATCACATATTCCTTTAGTTATCTTGTCCCTTTAGTCTCTTCCAATTTAGGGTAGTTTCTTTGTCTTTTATGACCTTGACACTTTTGAAATGTACTGGCCAATAACTTTGTATAATGCCCTTCAGGTTGGGTTTGTCTGATGTTTTGGCAAAAACATTCCAAAGGTGATGTTCTACCCTTTTCTGTGCATGGTATCAGGAAGTGTATGATGTTGATATGTCTTGTTACTGGTGAGGTTTACCTTGATTACTTGGTTAACGCAATGTCCGCTAGGTTTCTCCCCTGTGAAGTTCCTGCTTTTCCACTTTGTAAGTATGTATCTTTTGGGGCAATGCTTTGAGACTGCAAGTGTCCTGATGATTCTTGCCTACAACAATTACTGGGGTTTTTGCCAGAAGGTAATTTTTCTCTTTCCTGCATTCCATCTGCATTTACCAGTAGTAATTCTACTGTAAGAAAAAGCTTTTCCTTCTCTGCCGTGTATTTATTTATTGGATTACTTATAACAGTATGGATTCATGGATATTTCTTTTACAGTGTAGGTTTTGATCCATTACTTTCCTCATTTATTTTGTTGGTCATATTATCCCAGATTTGGCCTTTGGGGAGCTCTTGAAGTTGGCTCTTACGACACCTTTCTTTAATGAGAAGGGTAGATAACTAGAAAGTTTGACCTTTTCAGAAGTGGGGCTTTTGTAACATAGGTAGATCAAGTACTTGTATTGAAAGTTTTGCAGAAAGGAGCCTGTTTTCTTGCCTCCTTTCTCTCTGCTATGTCTGACCTTTGGAGGTAGGAGACTAGTCTGATTCTAGTACATTCAGTAACAGAATCTGGACAGAAACTAGTGTAGTGTACCTTGAACCTTTAAAATTCAGATTTTTCTTAACATTAGTTTCCTTCATTAAAGGGCCTTATTTACAACTTAACACATTAAAAGGCAAGCCTTTTTTTATTTTTAGCCTGAACCCTGTTTTTCCTTCTATCTTTCCTATTTGATAGCAACATATCCCAGCCATGTGGCAAGCTTATACTTCACAGTTGTTCTTAACCCATTCCTTTCACACCACGTCTGACTTCTAGTCTAGTCAGTCACCAAGTCCTGTGGCTTTTCCCTCTGCATGTCTCTGTGTTAGTTCTTTGTTCTTCAGTCCCATTGTTCCCTCTTAATCTAACTCACTGCCCATGAGTGGAGTCTGACTCATAGCAACCCCTCCTTGGGTTTCCAAGGCAGCAGTGTCTCTATGGAAGTAGATTGCCCAATCTTCTGAGGAATGGCTGGTGGGTTTGAACTGCCAGCCTTCTGGTTAGCAGTCAAATCTCTTAGGCACTACGCTACCAGAGCTCCTCCTTCTTAGGCCCCTATATTCTCTCCCCTAAACTGTGATGGTAGTTTGTAACTAGTTTCATTTTTCATTGTCTCAGCTTCCACTCTCCATTTATTTTTTTTTTTAAATACATTTTATTGAAATACAATTTATGTATAGTGAAATACACAAAACTAAAGTGACATGGGTCATTTTTTTTTTTTTTTTTTTTTCTTTTTTGCAGTTTGCAGTGTTCTCTCCCCTTGCATTTAATTTTCCATAAGTGCCACTAGAATGATATAATCTCATTGTTCTTCTGGCTAAATAGTTCTTTGATTTCCCATTGCCTAAGTGACTGCCAGATGCCTCACCTTGGTATAGAAGGTTCTCCACAAGGTACATGAACATGCTTCATCGTTCAGAGTGCGAGCCACTCTTGACTGCATTCTGTTCCTCAGACCTACCTGTGCATGCCTGTGTATAACTCATACAGTCTCATCACAGGCAAGGCTCTTCCTGCCCTTGCCATACACTGAACTCCTGCCCATCCCATAAGGCCTAATTCAAATTGCTCCTTCATCTATACTTCAGTAGAACTTTATTTTATTTTTCAATATGGAATATTTCAAATACACAGAAAAGAACAGAGAGTGATATAGTGAATCCTCATGTATCTCCTAGCTACTCACCTCCTTCAAACTCTAACATTTTGCTGTATTTACTTCATTTATTTATTTATTCTTGGTAAGAAATTAAATGCTGTAGATTGAATTTAAGCTCTCTGTGTATTCCTCGAATACTTTCTTTTCTCTCCTTCCTCAGATTTTGGGGTTTATCATTCCAGGGCCAATGTATATACATGTTGTTGTTGTTGTTGTTATGTGCCGTCGAGTCGGCCCCGACTCATAGTGACCCCTCTTTGGGTTTCCGAGGCAGTATCACTATGGAAGTAGATTGCCCCATCTTCCTTCCGAGGAGTGGCTGGTGGGTTTGAACCGCTAGCCTTCTTTTGGTTAGCAGTCAAGTGCTTTAGCCACTATGCTACCAGAGCTCCTATGTATATACATACATATATTTTTAAATTATAACATCTACTTATTTGCATGTTCTTAAACTTTATAAATTATACTGTGTTTATCCTTTTGCTTGTTAAAAATCAGTATTAGTTTTATGAAAATCAGCCCATATTTATGCATGTAGAACTAGAGCTTTATGCATAAAATAGATAATTTCCATAAGTTAATCATCTTCCATGTATGAATAAATCAAATTTTATTAATTCATTTTCCTGTTGCTGGACATTAACTTTCACTATTATAAGTGATGTGCTGTGAACAACTTCCTATATGTGTTTTGCACACATGTTTTTTTATCTAGAGTGAAATTATAGGGTGTGCTTATTTTCTGGCTTTGCTGGGTCATATAGTAGTAACTCTGTATTTAACTTTTTGAGAAACTGGCAAACTGTTGTCCAAAGCAGCTACACCATTTTACATTCCCACTAGCAGTGTAAGAGAGTTCCAGTGTCTCCACATCCTTGTCAACACTTATTATTGTCCTTGTTTGGGTTGTATCCATTCCTGGTAGGTGTGACGAGTATCTCATTGCGATTTTGATATGTATTTCCATGATGGCTAATGATGCAGAGCAGCTTCTCATGTCCTTGTTGTTCATTTGTATATCTTCTTTGGAGAAAGCCTATTCAGATAATTTGACAATTTTAAATTGTCTTTTTCTATATTGAGTGTAAGAGTTGGGTTACAAGTTCTTTATCAACTTTGTGATTTGCAAATATTTTCCCTGTATATTCTTTCCAATTTTTGATGGCATCCTTGAAGCACAAAAATTTCTAATTTTCATGAGGTCCTATTTATTATTTTTTCTTTTGTTGTTTGTGCTTTAGGTGTCGTATCTAAGAAACCATTGCCTAATCCAAGGGCGTGTAGATTTACTCCTGTATTTTCGTCTCAGAGTTTTCTCTCTTATGTTTAGGAATTTGGTCCAGTTTAGTTAATTTTTACAAATATTATGAAGCAGAGGCTTCCTTCTTTTGTATGTGAATATCTGGTTGTCCCAGCACTAATTTTTGAAAAATCTGTTTCCCCAGTTGAATAGTCTTGGCACCCTTGTCATAATCAATTGACCATAGATGAAAGAGTTTATTTCTGGATTTATAGTCTATTCCATTAATCTATGTTTCTGTCTTCATGTCAGTACTACACTGTCTGTAACAGCTTGGCTCTTTGTAACATCAAGTCTAGTGTTTGTCCAGTTGTTTTC